TATTTCTAGTTTACAATAATCTAACTGAGAGCATAATCAGCCCTTCAAAGTTTGAAATAGGTATAATATTTTTATGTTTTATGATTGTCAAATAAGGGAAATACCATAGCACAGAAAATAGAAAAGTGAAAGTAAAGTTTCTGAAACAAAGAGCATGTTGCAGTTATACGGGTAGAGCTAGACATTTCTGCATTCTTCTGGGCAAATATTTATCAATTTTTCAATGCCAGATTAATTTTGTGTTTTAAACTTAAATATTGATGCATATAGTACAGTTTTATATTTCAGTTTTGGTTAATAAAAGTAGAAAATAAAGGACTATACAGAATCTACTTCTTATCATAGTTTTTCAGTAGAAGAGTTTATTTTCTCTGAAAATCTTAACATACGCAAATTTACTATACTTGTAGTGGAAGGGAAAAAAAAGTAGCCTGAAACATTCTTTCCCCAAGTAATTTATTGCCACTTTTAAGATTTTCTTACATTGTGGCTTACAGGTGATGCCATTATCTTTCAGTATCAGGAGGCCAACCATGTTCTACAAATTGTCTGCTTTTCCAAGGGAGGTAATAAATGAATTGAGGCCCTTAGATGCTATGATATGTGATTTTTTTTGTTTGGTTGTTTTTTTGTTATGGTGTTCACAGCTCTAGAATAGAAATTTCCTAGAACTGTTTGATAATAGTAAGGAGTAGTATACTGAAACTCATCAAAACTGAAGGAATTTTTATGCCTGAACCTAAATGGCTACTGAAAAAATGGGTCAGAATGAAATTACACAGTAGCTATTTAACAAAAAAGAGGAGTTGACATAAAAGTTATTTCTGTTTGTGTGTTTGGATGAGGACTGAAAAATTTCTTATATATGTTTAAAATAGATTTCTTTCTTTCTTCCATGTGATCCTTTACAAACACACATTCTCTTTGAACCCTTTTGCTTCACCTGTGAAACTCTCTCCTAAGATTATGTGAACCATCTCTAATTTTTGGGGGGTGAGGGAATCACCTAAGGACTATATTTTAGATAATGACTGTTAGACAGTAGAGAACTAGAAACATGGAATATATGTGCAAGGTAACTGATAGGTCTTAGTTTCTGTGTTTGTAAGGCAGAGTTAAAATGGACAGGTCTGTGAATTGTCAAAGGCTGTAGAGCGAGTCATTACCAGAGACAATATTTCTTTATACAAAAACTAGAGTCATGTATTGTTTAATAAATAGTAATAGCTGATCTCAAAGCTGTCTTTGTTCTGTCCCTTTCTGAACTCTAACATGTTTCTTCAAAGGAAGGCTTTGCCCCACTGAGCTTTTGCCAATGTCAATAGCAGCTGAATACCAAACTCACTGCATTCCTTTGTGAATGCCCCCTTATGCCTGTCCCTCTTTTCCAATATCTTGACAGGTCTGTGTAAAAGCTATTAAAATAATACTAATCACATGCAACGCTTACAAAATTGGTAAATTAATTGTTAATCTTTGTTGTCATTTTCACTTAACTAGGACCAAAATAACTTGAAATGCGATATTCTCTGGTCTTTTTCCATCTCTGAGTGTTCCTGTTTGTGTGTGACAGATACCTGTTATTAGCTCATTTTCATGGGAGTCTTGGCACTGGGATTCAAGGGAAGGAGATGATTATGGGCAAAAGAAGATGCAACTTTACTTCCATATTTAATTTCCGTAATCCATCATGAATTAGAAGATCAATTCACACGCACTGATAAATGGATCTCTAAGCACCTTCCTGGTGTCTCTGTTTTTTCTCTCTGAAGCCCACCTTTATCCTTGTAACTGAAGATAATATTTTTTCACACTGCTGCAAAGGTGTTAAAACCCAGTAACAGTGGTTTCAGAGCACATGGAGCAGAGCTAAGTTTCAAAATTATTAAAAAAACTAGAGTGTGTGGCCCCTCAATCTCTAACCTAAAATTAACCTTCCTAAACATAATTTAAAATTAGATGGATCTTCATTGAACAGGATTCTGCAAGTCCAGAATGGGTGCAATGTGTCATGCAATTTATGGATCTTAGTACCTGCCATAAAGTATTTTATGATGGCTGCATTCTGTGTTATTAGTAGCTGTCTTTTTCTGCAGCCATTGGTGTTTGATAATAGTCTTAAAACACCCAAAATTACTTACCTGCAAGCAACATTCCAGATAGTCCCTGTTGACAGTTTGAATAAGTTTAGTGCCCTTTTGTTGTACTTTACCTTCAAAACAAACTGATTGAACCATCAATAGCTCCTGAAAGCTGACAGAGGCATGTCATCTGGTCTAACCCTCTGATAGTAGGTTATCTGTGGGAGTTAACCTCCCTGCATTGTTAACTGAAATGTTTTATGTACTATGCAACTTTAGGATACTGCTGTGATAACCTTAGTAACTAAGTCATATATCACAGTAAAGAGATTTTGTGCAACAAATAACCCTGGATTAAATTTACAAGGGTTCTATTGATATTGTAAAGTGTTCATTCCAGGGCTTTGGTAATCCTTTCCTCTATTTTTTATGGCAAACTTGTCATACATTTAGTTTGAAGGTGCATCTTCATATTTCTAGCTAAAATATATCCAGGAAGCCCAATGCTTTTCTTCAGCCATTTAATAGAAAAGTATCATATTATTTTCATATAATACAGATTCTTTTTATCTCACATTTAGTAAAAGGAATATGAATAAATATATTTGTATTTTTAATCACTTTTAAAAAGAATTGATCAGTGATACCCCCTTGTTCTACTGCTAGGATAACCTTTATGATACTTTTTAGTATTTGCTCTCCTTAAGGAGTACAAGTTGTTTGTTTTTTTTTTTAAATAAACCCCAAACCTGTGGCTTATGATGTAGTTTACTGTTTTGTTTATATGGGTAGGGTTTTTTTGGGTTTGTTTTTGAAATTGGCAAGTACTGGTGCTAATTCTGTTTTTTGAAATTCTGTTTTAGTCAGGATGGCTTAAAAATACATTTGTATCAAGGAATGTGATTAGAATTTTAAACTCTTTTGAAATGATTGAGAGACTGACATTAGGGATGTGATCCAAAGCCAGCATAGATGACAATGCTGTCTTAGACTGTTGTAATTTTTTCTGCAGCCTGCTTTTCAATGACATATTTCATTCCATCATTAAACATTTGCTGATTTTCTAATACAGATGTTTTCTTTATTTGAATATTCATCTTTTCTCACCCTACACTTAGGGGGTGTCTTTACTCATTTTTAGCTTTACTCTTCTTCACTCTTGACATATTGTTTCCTTCTGTACGTGTCTTCATTTGAAAGAATCTGTTGTCATCAGAGCTTTTCTGCCAGTAATGCAAGATGGATAGCTTCTCCTCCACTGAAAGATAAGGGCCAGCAAAATGCCAGGGAGAACTTGAAGGGCAGCCAGGAAAGCTGGGAGGAGTCTGAGAATGTGTCAGTCTCATAGGTCTGGAGCTGTTTAATAAATGGTCTTAGGATATGTTCTGTTTTGTAAAGTGACTCTTCTTCAAATATCATTGAAGGTCACAGATTGAGAATTCACACTGAAATTGTCTGAACATTTCAGTACTGAGCATTTTCAGTTCACTTGTTGACAGAGTTGTTGCCACAGAGAAAAGGTGTACTTGATGGAAAGGTTTATTTGCAGTGTTAAATTTTCCTTGGTTGTAGAAGGGGAGTCTTACAGTCTTTTTCATATGTTTGTCTGGTCCTGAGAACATTATAAGATAACTCTTACCTTTAAAACCACATTTTTTGTTTGTTGTTCTTTTTCAAAATGTTATGTTATTCAGAGTTTTCTACTACTTCTATTTCTTCCTCCCCGTGCCAGAAGAGATTGCTATGATTAGGAGGCACTCTGACTGGCTGGAGTTTTATGCAAAGCAGCTAGGCATGGGAAGCATTATCAATCACCTTTCTACCCCCTGCCAGGAAAGGTCTGTCACTTCTCTCACTTCGTAATGTCTGCTTCACATCTGGTTGATTGTATGTAAATAACATGTACTTGAGGTGGTTAGATATTTTGATTTGTCTTGGTTGTGTGCCTTAGTTTGTTTCTGATCTGCTATGTTCTCTACTTCTGCAAGCAAGGAGCCAATGGCATTTTTTTGAGGCTAAAGAGCTGCTGTACTTGGAGTAAAAAGGATAAATAGATATAGTACTGATGGATCCTAACAAGAACTTTGATTTCTTAAAATATTTTTCATAAAAATAGGCTCTGTGTGCTTTTGCATTTAACCCTGAACTGAGATCCATATGCCATAAGAACACCTTGTCTCTCTGGCAGGACAAAACTGAAATTCTCCTTCCAAATGATGCCTGTGTCAAAAGGTAGTCCTGGAAAGCAGAGATCAGGAAAACTCTCTATGCTTTCTCTTGACAAATTCTTTCTTGTAATGTTAAGAGTTTTGAACACTGACATACGCATCTTTCAAGACAAAGGATGGTGTTTTAGGATGTATGGCAGAAGAGAAATTACACTCTTCTGTGATTTGCTATTCACATGTCTCTAATGTTGCTGAACATTGTGTTTTTAGGAAAACGTAATAAAAATCTGAGGAAGTGTTGGCAAATGAATGTTTTCTGAGAACTCTTTCAGAGAAGATAGTTGGCAGTTTCCCTTGTCTCAGATTAGTTTTCCCCTGTAGTGTGGGATGGAATCTTTGGAATCATTCAAAAGTCCTTTTTCCAAAATGGCAATTGAGAGCAATTGCCAATTTATTCTATTTCTGGGTATACCTTATACCTCACTAATACCTAGAGAGAACATACATGTCCATGGTGATAATTCCCTTATCTGTTTCATCCACCCAGTATTAAATTGTTATGGGCAGCTTGCAGCAAGCTTTGTTTGAGAGTGTAAAATAAGTGTTATAACTTTTTATGTAAGATACGTTGCACAAAACAGGTGAACAAAGGCTGTTGCTGTTTATTACATTCTTTTTTAAATCATTTAGTCTGTGAGTATGTATCTGTTTATTACTGTATTTTAACTGTGTGCATTTTGTTATCTATCAGATATTTTGTCCTGCACAAATTGACAAACCTGAAATTTCTTGATACTCGGAAAGTAACCAGGAGGGAGAGAGAGGAAGCCTTGCTAAGAGGTGCCTTCATGAAAGTGGTTAAGCCCAAGGACGCTAAGGTAGGAGAGTAGATGTAAGAAGTAACAAGAATGTGGTTCATTAACACTGTTTTAAAATAACTCCAAAAGCTTGGCTGCATCTTTTGCTACAGTAACAGACAAAACCTTTCAAATCAAAAGGACTGGTGAACGTGGTCAGGTGAGGGACAAAAAGCCTTACTAATTTTTCTGTGTTTTAACATCAAACTTTATTGTTTCGTCTGGTTAATGGACTGTAGTTATGTTATCAAATTTCTGGTTTTCAGCCTCTGTTTCATATAACAAAGTAACTAGTATGTGTCACTGAGCTTAAAAGAGTATTTTTATTCTGTCTAAATATATGTAACAACTGTGTGATATGCTTTTGTGAAAGAATGCAATTTTTCTGACAAGTTGTCCCCTGCCTTGTATGTTAAACAAATATCTACTGCAGAGCTCACACCTATGGTGTTTATTGGCTTTTAGTGGACCAGCTGATTCTAATTTTGTATGATGTTACTTAATGTGGTGTCCTGCTAACAGGCATTGACAACATCAGAGAGATGGTTTCAATAATTTGAGCTTTTCATACCACTTCATCAACTTTGGGCGTAGTGCATACAGCTGATGCAAACAGAATGTGAATTCTTCATTTTACCTTCTTTTTCCATTGTTGATCAATACATAACAGCAACCTGAGCTTCAGAGTGTTTTCGTGCTGCAGATCTTCCTTAAAACTCTACTTAACTTTTCAGTCTACTTGCTTTCTGTTTGCTGTTTTGTACTCTAGAATATACCATCAATAATTTATTGCAGATTTTTCAATAATGCTGAATAATAATGTAGCAGTTATGGAAATGCAGTGTTTGGTAGCATAACAGCGTTGCTAGATAAATGCATTATCACAGGTACAATTGCAGTGCATAACAAATTAATTCAGACTGATTCATTTATAAGTACTAAAATGTTAACAGTTCTGATAAAGGCATGGCTTTGATATATTGTTCACCACTGCCTTCAGTTATTTCAGCTTCATATATGTAATAAATGAAATAATTTATTTCTAAGTTGCTGTGGATATCTCATACACAGCAAACCTTCTTTGCTGAATCTGGCCAAATGCAACAGCTGAAATGTGTTAGATATAGCAGAAGTATGTTGTGTTCTTCTATAATTCTCCTTATCTAATCAGATTTTGGATCAGTTAAATGTTTTTTTTAATTTTATTGGCAACTAGATTTTTTCTTTAAGAGTCTGCTCTTCAAATTTTGACCCACTTAATAATGTAAGAAAAGAAAAAAGAGTCTATTTCTTAAATTTGAATTTTCTTTTCTGGATGAAACCTCTTTTTAAGTCAATAGCTAAGGGTAAATTACTTCACACATGTAGGGATAACATCTTTAACTTTTATATCTGTAATTGAACCTTTTGTATAGTTTTGAATTATTTACCCACTAAGTCTTATGATAAAACATTTACTTCAGCAAATTTGCAGAAGGATCAAATTTACTGTTGTTATTGCCATACTAAACGTTTTTTTTTCTTTGTAAAGTATTTAGTACAAATTGCTGATGGTAAAATCATTGTAAATGCTTTTCATGGCATGAATTAATGCTTCTTAAGGTGATACAAAATTACCCTTATCATACAATATTATATACATATTACAGAAGTGGCTAATTTAAAATAATTATAAATTAGATGCAGAACAGATATTATAAACCTCTTAAAATTGTTTTCAAATTTGCTTCTTTCCTAGGATATTCATGCTTATAGTACACATGCATGCAAACTTTATGTCTGAGAACAGTCATAGAGTCCTCTCTGCCTATATATCTTCAGATGCAGATATGTATGTATATAGCAAGCAGCATTCCTCTATATAGCATAAAGATGATGTGTACAATAACTGTACTTTCAAATTCTGTCATATGTAATATATTGAATGCAGAATGTTTTTTTTATTCTTTAGTTTTCCTGAATCTTATGCTCTCTGTCTGTTCATCAGTTCTCCTCCTACATAATTGTTGAGATTTTTTACTAGCTTCAGCCAAATTTCACAGTCAGCTAGTGGTAATATATTCTAAGTTTTCTGAAACTAATTAGATAATACACCTTGATTCAAACTAAGGGAAAGACTGCAGTTCATCCAGTATTGGCCATCAGAAAAACTCTGTAAGAAGTTGACCTAGTGATATAAGACCCTGCTGTCAGTGAACCTCCTAAGAATGGTTTTTTCCTTTCCCCTAAGCTAATAGCCACTGTGTCTGCCTATGTTTGCCAGGAATGGAGCTGGAGTGAACAGTATTTACATTGGGATGCCACATGGAAACGTTGTTCTGCCAAATGTAGTAACAAAAGTAGGCCTATTGGACTTGCTTTTACAGAAAAAAAAAATAATATCAGAAGTTAGGTGGGATTTTTTCCCCATTATGATAAGCAGGAGATGATATAGCTTATTCAGCATAAAAAGCAGACTGGCGATCTAAGGAGGCTGTGATGTGGGGAGTTGTTTTCATTTTAGTCTTGACATAAAATACTTGGGAGAGCAAAATACCCCACAAAGAAAAAATATACAAAATGAGAATAAAAGCAAGAAATTTCCATCTGACTAGCTTGCATTTGCTAAATGCAAAAGTATCTAGCAATCACCAATCATCAGTAAGTCATAAATATTTTATTTTGTATAAATTTTTTTTTTTTTTTTTTTTTTTAACAGCACACTGCACTTTCTTGTGCTTTGCTTCATTTCATCCTTTGTTTAAAATGCATCTGTTTGTGATGACTGTCTTATGGAAAGATACAGTCATTTTTTAGAAAGCAGTTTAATGTTACAATGCAGTGTTCCATCTCGCTGTGTAAGTGATCTAAACTTCATTATTCTGTGATGTTTATGTTTTCTTTTGTCAAAATATTGAATGTTTTATCATGCCTGCTTTTAATAAAGATTGGATAAGCCTGGCTGGATAAGAGGCGTTGGGCCAGATGAGGAAGCCTTGTTTAATGTCCAGACCATGACCTCATTTCACTGGCATAAGTGTAGATCAAAATGGAAGATGTCTGTCCAGTGTGAAGTGTGTTTCTGGGCATGACAGCACTTCATATCAGAAAGACAGCTCAAGAATACGGAAGTCAAAATTGCTTAATTATGTCTTAGCTTTGTAATTATTCATTCCTGCTTTCTACAAAGAGTACAGTTATCATTTCTTGACATAATTATTTTAAAATGTACTGTTCTTTGGTTTATAGGTATATGAATTGTTCTTCCGACTGTTTCATCTTTAAAACTTAGACGTGAAAAACAGAATGTGAGAATTTGAAAATAGAATTGGAGAATACATTTTAAGACTCCATATTTTTCTTGCATATTATATAAATAAAAAAAATGAAATTGCAATTTATCAAAGCACATAATAATTTAATATTTTAAAGACGTATTCATGATCATTTAATCTAGATGATAAAATGTGGATATATCCATTGTATCTGACGTGTGTTGCTATGAGAAGATACACAGTTGTAGTTCTCTTTAAATGTAAATTTAACTGCTTAATACTGGGTTAATGCACTTACATTTATAAAACACATATATTTCCCAATATTTTGCAACCCCTCTGCCCAACAACTATTTTTTAGCTTACTGAATTTTTAAGTTTAACATTTTAATCAGCTTTATTTATAGTGGCAAGCAGTGTGTGTTTGGTCACGTAACAGTCTTGCAGCTTTTAGGACCAAATCATCAGCAGGTATCCATGGATATACTTCCTAGCAACTGACTTAATATTATGTGGAGTTATTCTGCTTTCTTGCAACTTTACCAAGAACATCTTGTCCACCAGCTAGAAAGGAAACTCTGTACAACAAAAGATGTTTGTATAGGTGTTTTGAACTTTTCCCCCCTCTAATGCATTGTTTCATCACAAGTTATAATTCTAAAACTTTATATAGCCTTTGTTCTCTAAGGACCTAATATGGAGACAAGCAGAAGCAAGTCTAATTTCTGTGTTTCTTGTAATTGCATGTTACTCTTGCTCATACTGTTACTTGGAGGGTAGAGGAAAATTATTATGATAGGAAGAGTAAATATTTAGGCAGTACAGCTTAAGAAATAAGGTGAGCTAAAATTTACAGTGTTGCTTTCAGATCATTGTCAGTATTCTTGTGTTCAAGCTCATAGGAAAAGCTCATTATCAAAGTGACCAATGCTGATACATGCTTTTTCAAATTCTGTTAAATTCAGATGAGGCATAAGGAGTGATTTTGTAATTTTTGTCCTTAACTATTTAACAAGAATTATATTTTTTCTTAAACAGATCTATCCTATCTACTTCCAAGAATTTTAGCTAATGCATCTCATGAACCTTTTTTCTGCCTCCCTAAGTAAGGAAAATGGGGATGGTTTTAAAAAGTAAATAGAAGGTGACAGGTAAACCTTTGGAGAACATCTGCATTGCTCACAATTTTTTCCTTTTACCAGCACCATTGTGCAGAGATCTGAAGTGTAAAGAATCGTTGTGTCAATGAACTACTAGCTAGTAAGATAACTCTTTGAGAGAACTTCTACATAATAGGGTTTCTTATTGTCCAAATGTCAAGGTTTCAAATACTAAAACAAAACAATGTCACAAATGTAAGACTCCAACCTAGACTGTGATGCAATAAAACATATTGACCTCAAAGATATTGCAGCAATCATGCTACTTCTTCACACACTGAAGTATCCATTTTGCTCTTTGGGAAGTTTAAGTATTTTAAGCAAGAGCCCATAACATGAATGGCTTATAATCCCCTAATGACTCATCAAAATTAGGAATAAAGAATACTTGGAAAAAAAATGCCAGAATTGATATTTCTATGTATGAAAACTTCCATGGTTTAGAATAAAACATTGCTGAGTATGACCTGCCAGATACAAGAGTGCTACTTGCTAGAACTAAGCTGGTAGAGCTAAATTCAGACATTGAAAAATTTTAATTTTTAAAATCCCATGATCCAAAGCAAACATAAGCAAACATATTTATATTAAAATTTCATGAAATAAT